ATTTAGTTGTTTGATGAGCTAACATTTTCTTAACAATCTGTGGTGTAAATCATCCAGTCACCAGCTTCCAAACCACATTGTTCAGTGCGTCATCTTCTGAAAAACTGTTGTGACGTTATTAGATGGAACAGTGGAGTGGAACTTTCTTGGCAGGAGTGTCACGAGTTAAGCTCTGCACCCTCCCCGAGTGCCTCTCCAGTCCTCTTCCCCTGCCTGATCTGCTGCTCTGCTTTCTGCTCCCTGCAACAGTCTGCCGCATGTCATACGCAGAGACTGCCCATGCTACTTGTGGCTCACATGCCTCTGGTTGACCATCTGTGGGATAGAGCATCAAACTTATATACTGCCATTGGTATATGTGCCCCCCTCAGCTAGATCCTTTACATGGTTTACATGTATCCCTTTACCTCCCTTCTGTCAGTAACCAAATTTACAAAGTATGTACCCCTTTTTCCTGATTTTAGAAGCTGCTTTTTCTTATTTCTTTTGTTAAAGATAGTTTTAAAATCAGCTGGAGATGGGACCTGGATATCTTTATATCAGAGAGATCCTCACATCCTCCATAAAGATAAAACAGGGCTCCTGCTCAAGAAATCTGATTTTCCTAGACTTTCTATAACTGTATAGAGTAGCTGTTTCAGATTTCTCTAAAATGAATTGATTGTGGAGACAGTGTGCATAGCACTTTGAAAAAGTACAAAAGTTGTGTAAGTGGTGTTTTTATTAATGTGCGTAAAAACTCCTGCTACAGACAGTCCCAGTGTCCTGAAAGATCTAGGGTTCCCCCTAAAATTACCAAGTGGCTTTCCATTGACTTCAGTGGAAGATGGATTGGGCCTATTTATAGTTGACTGTTGTTGACTTTTAGTTTAGAGAAAAGACAACTGAGGAGGGAGATGATAAAGACCTATAAAATAATGAATGGTGGGGAAAAAATAAATAGGGATTTACTATTGACCAGCTTTCACAGTACTGGAGACACACAAAGCAATTATTAGGAAGTTTTTTCATGCAGCACATAATTAACTTGTGGAACTCACTACCAAGTTCACTTGACCCTCTCCAGAGCTGACAGAGGGAGTGTGTGTGTGCATCCCTTCTACTTATATGACAGTAGCACCAGGGGGATATGACAAATCCAAGCAGGGCAGGTCGATCAGTAGGTATGAAACACAGTAGCAGGACTGTAGCCTCTAAGTGAGGACTCCTTAGGTCAGAGGTGGCCAGGGCAGCTTCTGTGTATACTGTGGCAGATTGGGAAGGGGCAGCACAGAAGCATATAGGAGAGAGAGCAGAAAGCAGAGAAGCAGACTGGGCAGGGAGCACATAACATAAAAACTGCCATTTATTGGGTCAGACCATAGGTCCATCTTGCCCAGTATCTCGTGTCACATAGTGGCAGAGTGGATGCTGAAAGGGAGAGTGACCTGCATATGACCAGGTTTTTTTCCACTGTTCCTCTCTCACTTTAAGCCTCCAGCATTTAACATCTAGGAAGTTCTGATTCAGAGGCTGTACCCCTAACTCCTGTGCTCAATAGCTACCAATGCCTCTTTCCTCCCAAAATTGTCCAATCCCTTTTTGAATCTGGCTAAACTGTCAGCTTCCACAATATCTTATGGTAGTGAGTTCCACACTTTAATTACATGTTGTGTGAAAAATAATTTCCTTTTATTAGTTTTAAACTGACTACTTATTAGTTTAATTTTGTGACCCCTGGTTCTTGTACTGAGAGAGAGAGAGAGTAAATAATAAATCTTTATTTACTTTCTTGTTACCATTTAGTATTTTGTAAACCCCTATCATGTCCCCCCTCAAGTGTCTCTTTTCTAAACTGAATAGGTGCAGCCTCTTGCGTCTCTCCTCATATGGAAGCCCCTCCATACCACTAATGTTCTTATTCCAGTCGTGTTCACATTCCCATCGTGTCTCAAGAAACCTGACTCATGTGAATTGTAGGGTTCACTCTTTCAGTGTCTATTGAGGATGTGTTTGCCTATATTCAATTGTTCCTTCAGTAGTAGGCAAGAGCCTGTCTCACCCAGGGTCTCTGGGTGTGGTATGTGTAAAGTGTCCCCTGGTCCATGTGACACAGTGGTTCGTTCTTTTTCTTTCCACGTGTGATCAGAACGCTCTTGCTGGGTGGTGGATTTCTGTCACAGTTCAGACTTTCCATCCGAGTGTACTGCTCCAGGAAAGTGATTTATTGATAGGTATTTCTATGGCACTCATCACTGCAGCACTGGGGTTGGGAGCAGTGCTCTCTAAACACAGGCCAAAGAGTGGGAAGCTGCCAAAAGAATCTAGTAGCCGAATGCACATCTCTGAGAGAGGAGAGAGGAGACTTCTGACTGATCATACTCACACTTTGCAGGTCAGCCTCTGGAGAGGGTGCTAGGGAAAACTTCCTGAACACCGAGCACTGGGACATCTCCACCCTTCTCTCATGCTTCCTGCATGACATATTAAGACAGGTACTGGAAGCCTTAGATTCAGAAAAGTGGCCTAGTGGCCTAGTGGAGTAGGCAGCGAATTGGTTTCTAGTCCTAGCCATGCTGCAAACCTGCTTGATCTCTGGCGAGTCATGCTGCTGCTGTTCCTCTTTTTCTGCCTTCTATCTGTCCTGCCTGTATTGGGAGTACAGACTTTAGGGTAGAGTCGCAACCTTATGGTGCATATGTGCAGCACCTAGAACAGTAGGAGTTCTGTTTGGGTTGAGGCCTCCAAGTGCTATTGTTATTTAAATGAAAGGGGTGCACACACTCACCCACTGGGTCCAACTGTGCCCTGAGCAGCTCTGAGGGAAAGCACAGTTTGGCACCTGCAGTTTAAAGTGCCCAGAGTGGGCTTGCTCCCATTGCTGACTCAGTGCACAGCCAGGGGTGAGTGGGACACAGGATGACAGATTTATTTCACTACAGAGGCTTCTATAACAGCTAAAATTTTCCCTGTTCAGGAGCCTTTGAGCTTTGTTTTTCTCCCTTTTTTTCCAGAGAAGTAGCAGAAACAACCAGTTGCTTCAGTCTTGGTGCTGAGGCTGGTTTTATACATGCTGCTGGGGGGTTGCTCCATTGATTAGTATTCTGCCCAGTGGCTTCTCACTGTTTTGGAGGTAGCCTTAGCTATTGCCTGGCAACCACAATGTGGAAGTACAACACCAGCTCCAGAGTGCAAGCATGCTCCTAGTATGCATACACACTCATTTGCTCCTTCGCTCTCAGTCGCTGCTGCTGCTCACAGGCTGGTCCAAAATAGGTGGCCGTATCCTCTCTGCCGAACCATCCTTGCCTTTGCTTTGGGTGAGGGAGAGTTGGAAAAGGAGAAAAGCAGAGAGAGCAAAGAGCCATCAGTAAAAGAGGAGGAGAGGGTTTTTAGCAGTGGAACGACTGGGCTGGCTGAAGTTAAGGTTTGGTCTGTCTGTCTGTCTTGCATTCAGAGAGAAAGGGTGCTGAGTTTGTTTGCTAGGCAGGTTGGTGCTGTAATTCATGTGTATATGTGTGTGTGCACGTGCATGCATCTGGCTATCCACATCTGCTGGTGGAAGTGCCATAGGGCACTATGCTACCTTTCCCTTACCTCAGCCAATATGTGTTTGGGTCTGGTCTTTGCTGCTGGAGGGAACTGCCCCCAGGCACGTGGCTCCCCACTGTTTGGCTTCTTTTGGGGCAAACTCTTGCTCTTGGGTTTGTTCCTTTTCTCCAAGGTTTTGCCATGTCAGGAATGGGGCCCAGTCCAGAGCAGAGGATTGCTGCAAGGTTGGGCTGTCTCTACATCTGTCTGGTAACACCTCTCTGGCAGTGGTGACTGCTGTCTTTCATGCTGGGGCTGGGCATCCCCATGGAAAGGAAGGGATTAGCATAGATCCACTTTTACTGTGTCCCACTATCGGCCTTCCTTGGTGGCTAGGAGGGGTCAGCTTGTGCAAAACCATGTGCAGTTTATTTATATCCACTACACCTACACACACACACTAGGACACACTTCCCCACCCTTTTGCTAACATGCCTGCTTTTCCCTCTCCTTCACAGACATGCTCTGTCACACTCAAAGAGGAATCAGCAGTAGGTTAGCAATAGTCTCTCCTCACAAGGGAGATTTTGCATGTGTACAAACCCAGAGCCTTTCAGAGCTTTTCCCACAGCATTTCCTTCTGAAAGACTGAGGCAGGCTAAGGTCGCTTGGGAAACATAGAGATCTGAGTCACAGAGCAGGTGGTTCGCCATTCCCTCTAATTTTTAGTAAACTGTGTTGTTGATGAGATAGCAAGAGGTCAGCTGCACTTGGAAAACAAGAGCACATGGGAAATTTGCCCTATGTCAGACCATCTCTGATGCCCATTTGCAGATCTCTGCTTGAGGTTTGATACAGTTGATTGAGATGAAAGAATTTCATGGTTAAGTCACCAACTGGGGTTTGAGAGATTTGGGTTCATTCCCATGCTCTGCTACAAATTTGTAGTGGGACTTTGGGCATGTCTCTCATCTCCCATCTGACTTGCTTCGCTATCTGTAGAATTCACCCTGTGCCTCGCTTACTGACCTTACAGAGGGCTGTACATAGGAAGGTTAGAAGGTGGCTTTATTAGCCAGTGATTCAAATAGCACTGAGTGCCTTGGTCCTGGTGGCTTTTCTGCTTATCTGAATGCAGAGGTTGTGAGACCTGCCCCTCTGCCCAGTGTGTTGGCAAGTATTGGCAATGGTGCTGGTTATCAGAGCCCCTTTCATTCTCAGACTCCTGCCACAAGGACCTTAGCAGCGCAAGCTGCCTTGGCAAAGCTTGTATGTTCCCACTTGAGACTACCTACAAGGGAGTCAGTCCATGATGTTTGTCATGAGAACACCTCTCTATTCAGGGCAGGACTGAAACACCTGCCCATTTCACACAGGCTGGGATGGAGTTCTTGGGCAGTTGGTTTTAGCTGCTTGTGGCAATGGCCAAGTTTGAACTCATGGCCTGGAAGTAAAAGGCTTAAAGAAATGTCTGTATTTTTGTCTTTCAGAGCCTGGGGTCAGCAGACAAGAAGGACTTTTACCAACAAAAGTAAGTGCCAGTGGCCTGTGTGTATATGTATACATGCATCTGAGTGGAAATTCACTGTTGCTGCATATTATTGAGAAAAATACTGTATCTTGCTAAGATTAGACATTTCAGTGGATAAGAATAGCTTCTGCAATTATACTAGCTAGGCTAACACTGGAAGGGTTGTCAATCATTTTGCTCCAGGGCTTATGCAAATAACTAGATCAGGTCAGGAAAAATCAAGGCTGTTCTACCTAGCATCAAGGACAGGGCTGGCACCAGTCACCCTAGCAGGTAGAGAATGCCAAGATGACCTTTGCCACCTCTTCTCTCCACTCTGAATTTGCAGTGAGCACAGATTGGCTGATCTGAAGAGCCTGGTGTTTTGGTTTGGTTTAATGTTGTAGTTGGCTGGTCTTGGGTCTTGGAGCAGATCTTCAACTGCCTGTGCTTTGATGCAGTTGCTTTCTCTGTTGCAAACTGTCCATGTAGGATGAATATCCATGATGGTGATATTGGAGAAGGAGGGTTCTGTGGAACCACTTTATCAATGGTCAGAGAGGTAGTTAGGCATGGGAATCTGAAGTCAAGCCAAAGGCAGGGTAGGGTGGCACCTTAGAGACCAACTGGTTCCCTCCTGAGGCAGGAGCTTTCATAGGCAACAACCTACTTTGTCAGAAGTTGACTATGAAAGCTCCTGCATCTCTCAACCAGTTAGTTTCTAAGGTGCCACTCAGCCTAGCCTTCTGCTTTTATCAATGGTCATTACCCCACTAGACCATTAACAGAGCATGTGGTTGGTAACACATCATGTTCTCTGACTAGATGGACCATTGTTCTAAGTCAGCTATAGCAAGCTTTTTGTCACAGAAAAAGTAAAGCACACGAAACATTTTCAACCTATGGTACCCTTATTAAAATATAAGCAAAGGCCTTGCTCTTACAGGATTCGCAATACCACACCAAACACACACTGCATGTAGCTGAAAGGCACCTTTACACCTGCGGGATGTGAAAGCTTCTGTGTTTGAAATACAGCAATATGATCTTTTGATAAGAGCAACCTCTCTCAAAACCTGGAGATACAATTACAGCTTTAGGTCCTGACTGCGAGGGAGCTGTTCCTGTGAGCCTGCAGCTTTTCAATGTCAAGCATGTATTTGTGTGCAGATGGTCAGTTGGCGCTCAGCACTCTTTGCTTTTTTCATAATGTTCTGATCCTGTCCCTGTTGGGGAAAAATGAAAAATCAGTGAATTGTGAGGGTTTTTCTAAATCTTCTGAAATAAAGGGTGTTGATGTGACTTTTACTGTCTGAGTACCTGTTCCAAGAGCTGTGGAAAGGTGATGTAAATTTTTGGAATAGCAGTGGGATTTTCTCTCTAGGGGATGGGATTGGGGAGGAACAGGCTTTAAAAAATGGAAATGTTCTTCTGTTCTTCATGTCTTCTGGTTGTTTTCCAAAGAGCATCTCCACAAAGTTCCTTTTCAGCAAGGCGTATGAAATGTGTACTGAGCACAAGACAGCACTGCCTTATCTGATTTATTCTTAGCATCAGAGTAGATGTCTTCACAGTTCTATTGGGATTTGAGGCTCCACGAGAGAGTATGTCATTGCAAGTACCTGTTTCCAGTTCAAGATGCATTCTGTAAGGGTTGGTATGTAGGACTGTGTATAGTTTTCAAATGTCTGAATCTGTCTCTATCTGTATCTAACTATTTGTGTATAGTTTTCAACTATTTGTGTATAGTTTGCTTCTGTCTGTCTGTGTATGAATGTATATAAGTATTTCTGTCATTACCAAGATTTCTGAACAGAAATACTTAACATCAGGCTAGTAAACACCAGGAAGTCTTGATCCTCTTGCTTGAGGACATACACTGTTCATCAGTTTTAGATAGTCAGGGAGAGCTGTTGGGGGCTCAGTATTTTGAAAACCAGGCCACTCAAGATGTCTACATGACATGCAGATTTCTAGTAGCTCAGGACCAATCATTAGGGAATTATGATCCCATCCTAGACAAAACTAAACAAAATGAAGCCCCCAGTGGCTGAGAACTTAAAAGAACTTTGTAGCCTTATTAGTGATCCTCTGGGGTCTTGTGGCTCCTGGCAGACATTAAGTTGGGATCTGAGGAATTTTCTGCCCCATCCCACAAATCATGTGTCCTGTCATACCAGACAAGCCTGGCAGGATATGTGATATCTAGGATGGGGCATAACATTTCTCAAATCCCAGTTGTGTGACTGCCAGGGTTGAAGCGGATTCTGAGGCTGCCCCTGATCCTATTTCCCAGCTTGTAGGGCTGCCTGATGACAACAATCAGCTAATGGTCAGCATCAGGACCAGGGCAGTACCAGGCCCGGCTCAAGACCCAGGGCTGTCCTGTTCCTGATCCTTGGGATAAGGCTGGGAGCAGCCTTGAGACGGGACTATTCTGGTCTTAATGCTGACAAATAGTTTATTGCCCCTTCATTGTCTGGGTCTGGAACACATGCTGCACATTCAATTTAAGGTACCAAAAAACCAGTTACAAAGATGTTCCACATTATATGTTGAATATCTCTGTGGCTGGTTTGACATTTTATCATGCCATAAATTGGCTGAATGTCTGACATGTTGCAAGTCATGGCATAATTTACAAACACTTTAATTGTGTCATAAATGTAATGTCCATCAGGGGCCTATGCTATATATTTGCATGGATAGCATGAGTTTTGATATTAGTAAAGTTTTGAGTAGCTCAAATATCCCTCTGCCACCTGAAGTTCTTATGAGACTATGCTTGTCAGAAATGTGAAGATAGACATTGAGATTCCTTATAAATGGAGGACCTAATCATGGAAGGCCACCTCCAAATCCCACCCTGTAGGAGAACCAAAAGAAAATTGCAGTGTTCCCTATAGATTGTTCCATGAGGTCTGTTGACCTGCCTTAGAGTCTGGTTTTCCCCAGCCCACTGAAGTCATAAAATCATGGGCCTGTCTAGTGCACTACATGGCAGGGCTTGTAAGGGCCAGGCCTTTTTTTGTTAGATGTTTGGTGTCTCACTGCTGCTTCCCAAGCACCCTCCATTCCCAAGGCAGCATTATTCCATCAGGAGCTCTGACTTGACTGATTTTCTCCATAAACCTGGCTCAAACTCTGACCATTTTAGAAGCTTTTGCCTGTATGTGTACAGAACCCTTCGTTACAGAATGATTTATCCCTTGCTGTGTTTCTTGTCTGACCAACGATTCCCTAAAAGCTGCAGCTTACAATGTGCAAAGAAACAATACAAAGGAGCCTTCATCTGAGGAAGAGGAGAGTATACAAGTCAGCTTCCTTCCCTAACAAAACATGTGCCGTTTCTGCAGTTTAACCCCTGCTTTCCATTTCTAAGCTAAGGGGGTGATCTGACCCTTAGTTTAGCTTCATGACAGGTATAAGAACATCCTTGTTTGGCTGAATGCATTGTGAAGTTAGACTGTGACCTAGCCAATCCCAATGCAGATAACTGGAGTTAATTTGCCTCCTGCCATCCTAGTTAAGATTCTTTAAGTGTTGTTTTGGAGCTTATGTGACACACAAATAAAGCCCCATTTGACAGGTACAACTTGATGGTGGTTGCCCTGTGCCATTGCTGCTGTCTAGTTTGACCTTTTCAACCTGTAGCTGCCACTGGCATTTTTGCTGCCTCTGTGACAGTGCAGTTGTCTGGTCCTGCAAGGCTGTGCCACACAGATCTGACTCTGTCCTCTTACTGATGTCAATGTGAGCTGAAGGTGCTAACCACTTGAGAGGAGGGGCTCATCACCTGGTAGGTTTGGAACCTTTATGCTGGAATAGATGCACACTTTTCAGTAGTCCCTGCCACAGACAAGCACATGCACACTGCTACACAAATCCTCCTCTCTAATACTTACCTTATACTGTTTTTCTACACAGAACTTCCATGGACAGCTACAAGGAACCTCATGCAGAAGAACAGCATTTGTGTAGCATCTTTTTACCTAAGGATCCCCCACATTTGTGTAGCATCTTTTTACCCAAGGATCCCCCATGCTCATGCCCATGAACTCTGGAGTTTAGACTGGAGAGAAGAATTCAGACATAAATCTGCATGCTAAGGAACAAAACCTTTAAAATGGTGCCCCATAAGCACTTACTGCTTCTTTTCTAAGACATATTTAAGCTCTAGAGAATATTACTAATTGCAGTTAACTTCTGGAGCAAGGGCTTCAAATCACAGCTGCTTTCTGTGGTTCTCACTTTTTAGCTTCTATCTTTGTATTTTACAGTCATAGATTGTTCACCATGAAAATCAAGTTTTTATTTGATCATCCCTGTCCTAATAAAGAACTCACCTCTACTTCTTGCTTTTTTCCATGTTACCGAATGTATCGGAGTTTGTCTTCATTTGCATTATAGTAAAGTCAGCATCCTCCATGTTAAATGCTGTGCAGACATATTTTCCAAAGTGTTTCTCATTTGTTTATCTCCATTCCCATTTAATGTGAAAAAAATTCCTATAAACTTCACTGGACAAGAGTGAGGCCCATCCTGAGTACTTCAGAGGTTTCCAGCCATAATTTTAAAATGCCCCAGGTATTAGTGTGTGCATCACTTCCTTTGGGAGAACTATTGAGCTCTTAATCCCAGACAGGTTTTCCTGAAATTCATCCTATATTTTTCTTTTTCTTAAGTTTATTCAAATTAGTTGTACCAAATCTTGTACCAACCAGCCTTGTAAGTAATTCCTCCTTCCTTTGGCGATCATTTCTATCAGAATTTCTGATTAAATAATCATGGTAGAATATTTATGATATTAGATTGTTAGAATATAAGATAACAGAAGGAATTTCTTCATATGAGGATGGTTAAGCACTGGACCAAAGTACCTAGAGAGGTTGTGGAATCTCTGATATTGGAAGTTTTTAAGATCAGATTAGATAGACTTGTGTTTTAATGATGGTTTAGGCGGAGATGTTTCTTTCTTAAGGAGGGGAGATTGGATTAGATGTCCTCCTTAAGACCTTTTC